TCCAATTTCTTGCATCCGTATTTATCTGTAGCGTCGAAACCCGATATGCAACAAAAGTTTTCAAATCTCTTGGAATTTTATCCAACCAATAAAGCACCACAAATGAATCTATCCATAACGTGTAACTAATCTCATTCCACTCCATTGCTCGCTTAACCTCCATTGTAAGCTTAGACAATAATTCTCACGCTGATAATTCTAGTCGCGGAATCGTCATTTTTTTAACAGGCGCCACCCGTGTCTTGGACACTAACAAACTGCACGTAATCTCACCATTTATGTGCTCCGTTCGAACATATAACACAGCCCCATAAGCAGCCTCAGACGCATCTGCATAACCATGTATCTCAATTTTCTCTTTACTACTTGCACCAATCCACCTAGAAACTTTTAATCTCTCAAGGCCCTTTATCCTATACCAATATTCTCTAAATCTATTCTCTAGCTCCAACTGCAATTTTGCATCCCATATTATCTTAAGGCGCCATTAATCCTGTATCAAAATCTTTCCAACTATCGGCACGGCGATATATACCCATTTGGATCAAATAACTGAGCCACATGGCTCACAACTCACAACTATGTAAAATTTTTTTTAAAGGAAAACGTAGTCCAAAATACAACCATGCATTTATCGAGTTTTATTCTGCACCGTGCTTTTAGTTATATTAAATTTGTTCTAGAATTGTAACCAAATCGTTAATTTGCACTGTTGACACTGATTTGAAAGAGAGAAAAATAGCGACAGCCGGTTCTATGTACCGGAATAATAATAATAATAATATCCCAACGGTTTTTACCCTCCATTCCCGCCCATCCGCACGAGGGGCGCAGTCCGCATGACGTACGGAACCAATATTTTAAATTTTTGTGCCGAGTCACGATAGGCAGGAGTTTGTTAAGTGTCGAGATCTAAAACTGTTCAGCTACAGAACTAAATTCATCAGCTGATTTTATGTATTTATGTCAATAATGACTCGGGTTTTACCCGACCAAGGGCTGTTGTTTCGGCGATCTAACCCCGTTTAGGTCGGCGAAGTATCTCAGAAGTTGTTCGTACATAGGGCTACATCCGCTACGTTTTCTCCTACTCAGGGCTGGCATCGAGTCAAACCCAGGGCCAGAAACCTACACCTGCTGTGTATGCCAGAGACGACTACACCACAACTCCACCTCTGTCAAGTGCAATGCTTGCGAGGGGTGGTGTCACCTCAGAGTCTGCTCAGGGCTACGGACTCATCGGCAGTGGACCACGTCGTATGTGGCCCCTTGCTGCTCAAACAGAGCAGCCTCCACGGCTAACCTCAGTCCACCAGAGCAGCCTCGCACACTCACCACAGCCACGACAGACCATAGAACACACACAGCCGCACCACCACCCACACGCCGCCGCCAACAACTCCTGGTTCCTCCTACAATCTGCACGGTATGTCAGACCAGGATATTCCGTAATGTGACATCAGTCAAGTGCAATACCTGCCTTGGCTGGTGCCACTTTAGGGCATACTCAGGTCTGCGTACCACGCGAGACTGTACGAGGAACTTCGAGGCCCCGTGTTGCGCTGCTCGGTCGCTACTGCGACGCCTCCCGCCACCACCACAGGGCGGCAACCATCACAGCAGCGCACACAGCCAACGGCAGTAAGAACACACACATCCCTTACACCCCACATCACAACACGTCTCCCGAACCACATGAAGCTTCTTCAATTCAACTGTAACGGGCTACAGAGCAAGATTGAGGAGATAACCGTCTTTATGTGTCGGCATGGTATATTGATAGCTGCGGTCCTAGAGACGAAGCTGCACAGCAATTCAACATTGTTGAATTGTGCCGGGTACAACGTGCATCGTCGAGATCGCGAGCGAGATAATGGTGGTGGCTTAGCGTTCATCACGCACCACACCGTGCAGTATCGTCTTATCGAAGCAGACATCGACCGCAGGGATACCACCCCAGAATGTCAGGGCATTGCTATCCGGTCAGACGATGTCGAGCTCGAAATATTTAACATATACATACCCCCTTTTTCCTGCTGCCCGGTAGGATATCACCCTGATATAGGTGCGCTCCTCAGAGATGAAAACCGTATGGTAGTAGGTGACTTTAATGCGCATCACGATCTTTGGCATTCAAGCCTGTCAAACGATCGTAGGGGAACAGAATTGGCTGAGCAGATAGACGATTCGACATTCTGCACAATGAACGACGATGCACCCATCAGGATTATGGGTAACTGCAGCAGCTCGCCAGACATCACCATAGTCAGCGCTGGTCTGATAAACTGCGTAACATGGCGACCTATGCTGACTTTAGCATCAGACCATCTACCCATAGTCATCTCGATTGATAAACCAACCGACTTTGCCTCCGC